CCGTAAATATAATTGCCCGGAACCTTTTTAGAATATAAAAGAACGAATAGTATCACGCCCGGTGATCGTACAAAAATGATGGAGGGGGGGTCAGGCGATTTTTGCAAGAAAACTCAACAAATTTGGAAGATTTATTTTTTCAAGAGAAAGTTTACAACTGGATTGCCAAATGAATAGGCGCAGTGCATGGCAAAATATGTTAGGCCATCTAGTATTTTTTTGAACTGATACCCTTCTAAGATATGAGATCTATTAAAAAAGGCGCATCATCACCAACGTGCAAAAGTCAATGTTTTTGCTATAAATCGGGCAACAATGGTCTACATGACCTTTAATAAATAGGTATAAGGGACGTTATCCTATGCCAAGTAGAGTTTTAGGGAGATAAGTTGGTAAGATATATCCCGTATCCTGATTTTGAGGTTTCCATATCCAGAACCTCCATATCTCCCGCCATATCTCCCGCTTCGTTGCATATCTTCCCGCTTCGGTGCATATCTGCCCGCTTCCGGTTAGTAGTGTAAATGCAATAAAATGACTTTGCATATGAATGATTTGTTTATTTGTACACCTTGTACTATTGAAATGGCAATATGCCCATAAAAACTCTACTTGGTATAGGATAAAGCAGTTATGTACGGTCGGTTTGGATATTGGGTTCATCCCTCGTGAGATATGCACATCTACCTTCGGTCCCTACGGTCCCTCAGGTAGATATGCATATCTCCCTCTGGATAAACCCCATATCCAAAACCTCCCAGTACATAACCCTTATTTATTATCATAATACTAATGACATTGCTCACTTTTTAAAGTTAGTTTCCATGCGTTATACAAAAAATAATCGAAATAATTTAATTTGGGATGGAGGAGGGGGGGATCGGATGGAGGGGGGGGGATCACGTGTATATAAGACATGATAAGACGTGCTACTTGAATTTATTCTTATGACTCCAAATTTTCATCCTCCAGAGATATTATATCTAGTTTCTTACTGGGGTACTGAGTTTAGTTTTTTTCAAATACACGAGTTCTTGTGAATTTGTTCCATCGTAAAGATATAACCCCCCCCCCCTCCATCCGATCCCCCCTCCATCCCAAATTAATTTATTTCGATTATTTTTTTTTATAACGCATGGAAACTAACTTTAAAAAGTGAGCAATGTCATAAGTATTGTGATAATAACATCCCTTATACCTATTTATTACAGGTCGTGTAGACCATTGTTGCCCGTTTTATAGCAAAAACAACATTGACTTTTGCATGTTGGTGATGATGCGCCTTTTTTAATAGATCTCATATCTTAGACATGTTAGAAGGGTATCAGTTCAAAAAAATACTAGATGACCTAACATATTTTGTCATGCACTGCGCCCATCCATTTGGCAATTCAGTTGTAAATTTTTTCTTGAAAAAATAAATCTTCCAAATTTGTTGAGTTTTCTTGCAGAAATCGCCTGATCCCCCCTCCATCATTTTTGTACGATCACCGGGCGTGAGTATAACGAAATATAATTGTAGAACAATGACACATTTGGGTGGTTGTGTGGGTGGGTGGATCTTTTCGTCCTTAGCTTTTTTATCCGTATAGTCGATTCACTCATGCATATGTCATTGAAAATCATTTGAAAATGTTTCTGAGTATAGTATTTTCAAGGGCCACACTTTGCGAGAGTAGATCTGCGTAACATGCCAAATTCTAAGGAAAGTGGGGATATATAAGGCCAGCGGGCCAAATACGAGGAATGTCTCGGGAAAACAGACGGGAAAAGACAATTACAATGCTAGTGACCTGGTAGATAATGATGAAGATTAAGATATGTCGAGGGAAGAGAGTGCTCTACTTAAATAGAGGAAATAATTGCCACGTTTTTTTAAAGAAATCGGACCATACGAGCAAACAAATTCACTTTACAAGAGTAGACAAAAGAAGGAGTAATACGTAGTATTACATACCTAGCGAAGCATTTGTATGGAAGTCAATGGGAAAGTTAGCGAGCTATATCCACCGATATTGCCCGATTACCCCGATATAGCCCGCTTACCTCGTTTTGATATTAGATTTCTTTAATAACCATGATAATATCATGACGTCACGTCATTGATACAAAGTAACCATGGGAACAAAGGCATGTAATACATCAGTTATGTCACTATGACGTGAAATATGCCTTCGTTCTTGCCCAAATATAGAGCCTCCCAAGGTCGGCCTATATTGGGAGAACTCAGGCATATTTCACGTCATAGTGACATAACCTCTAAGTATTGGATGGACTGGTATGCATAGTTATTGGTTTAAAGACATGTCTATAATCAATGCAGAATGATTGATTTTGGAAAATGAAATGAAAGAAGAACTTTAAATCCTGAATGAGAAACGTGGTTTAAATAAATGAAACAACAAAAAAGTGTTTGGAGCTGTAGAAAGTATATTGTATACTTACACGTAATGTTACATAAGATTACATAAAAAAGAAATTACATAGAGTTACATAAGATTACATAACAAAGTAATCACGTGGTTTTAAAATACGCTGTTACTTTTTTATGTATACCATATGTATAGCTGTAGACTGGCTCATTGGTGTCATATGGATCGACCGATGTCCTGGTGGGTGATGTACGGTCATTGGCAGATAGCCTTGTGCGATAAGATCATAATCATATCGTCGATACTGGCGATTTTGTGACATTTTGAAAACCATTTAAAATTTGTAATAGGCCTAACAAAAGTCCTTTGAAAGGGTTCAACGCATAATATCGTTTAGCAAATCGAACGCTCGTTCTCGGTGATGCTTACCGTATTATTTATTTAGTATAAAAGACGCGACCCCGGAATAATACTCTAGAATTCACAGGTTGAAGTCATCGATAGGCTATTTCACTCTCCCGATGTTGACAGAATTATTGTAAACGGATTAGATTATCTTCAAGACAATTTCGATAAACTAAAATTTGCAAAACTCCCCCAATTTCATAGAAATAGGCTGATCCAGTAGACATGCACGCCTGCAGCCGCCATATTTTAATTTTTATACGAAGCTTATTGTGACCGGGATTGTGACCCTTTAAAACCTGACTTATTTTTTATATTTTGGGTAACTTTTTTAAAATGTTTACTTTTACATACATATTTGGTTTAAGGAATGTAGACCGAAGAGCAGGGGTAATATATTATTGAATACATCCCGCAGGGCTAGGCACAAACATCTTCAAACGGTTCGAAAGCTTTTGTGCCTAGCCCTAAGGGGGTGTATTAGACGATATTACTCCTGCTCTTGGGTCTATATTACGATTCGAACATAAAAACCTGATAAAAACTCCCCAAAATGTTTCGAATTAAGATATATAGACCAAAGAGCAGGGGCAATATCGTCGTCGAATACATTCCGCAGGGCTAGGGACAAACGTTTTCTGAATCCCGAACGACCGTACTGGTCGTCTTTAAAGTATTCGGAACTCCGGCCCTCTGTAGCAGCCCTATGCAACTCAATATTTTTTTGTCCAAATGTTCGTGCGCTATGTAGTGGGCAACATATCCTTCATATAGTCGTACAATGGACAAACACTCAAATAGGCTACTGCCCTGGTTTGGTCAGTTGATTTCTTAAATTTTAAATTGAATCTACATGTACGTCATGTATCTTCTAAATTCCAAAGATCATTGCTCTCGGGCTAAAAAACAAATACAAAAATACCCCATTTGTATACTATGATACGTCATATAATGAGGTGCGGCCAACGGATGGTTATTCTGTTCGCGACAATATTACCCGGGCAAGTAATTGCAAATTAAAACGTCTACAGCGAATATAGAATCAACATGTATGTATGCAATTGACTGTAGACGCATTTTTTATACTAAAGTCATGCCTAATTGGAGGGTTTGTAGAAAAAACCGGGTACCGGGTAGTAAATCCTCCATGCTGGATTCAAACTTGGTACCCGGTACCCGATCGAAAAAACCGGGTACCCAAAAAACGAAAAATACGAATATTTAACATAATAAGATCATTAGAAAACGTGTAAAATTTGTTTTGAATTTACAGAAATGTATGTTACTTCCTTCAAAATTGAGCTAGAAGCTTCAAATAAATTGCATTTTAAGGCTCTTTTCTTCCTCTATCATCATGGTCATATTTTCATTGGTTATGGGGGGGGGGGTGCGATCGCACCATCGCACACCCTCCTGGCTACGCCTATGACATTGTAAGACGATTTGAAAAACATGACAAGTTACATACATTTTTGTAAATTCAAAACAAATTTTACACGTTTTCTAATGATCTTATTATGTTAGATATTCGTATTTTTCGTTTTTTGGGTACCCGGTTTTTTCGATCGGGTACCGGGTACCAAGTTTGAACCCAGCATGGAGGATTTACTACCCGGTACCCGGTTTTTTCTACAAACCCCTAATTGGACTTAATTTCAGATACAGTCTTGGCTTGGACAATTGATTTCCCTAAATCTTAAATTGAAACTACATGTACATGTATCTTATACCATAGACCATTGTCAAAAAGAAAAATACCAACGGTATATGGATGGCCATATAGACTAATATATCGTCATACTTTTAACGCCGTAAAATCTACTTTAAACGTTGTTACGATTTTATGGCCAAAGAATTACTTTGAACGCCGCCAAAACTACTTTAAACAGTGTCAAAAACGATTTTGTAGGATTTCGAACGGCTTCAAGAATTATAAGTGACACGTAAATTACGTCGAATCTGTGTTTGTCGCGCCATTTCGAATTGCCAGTAGTTCTGTAGTTTGAACCGATTGCTTTGATTGGTTGTGCAAAATCATTTTCCTTTCAAAAGAGTTTTAACGCCATAAAAATTAATTTTAATGAGGTACAAAAATCGTTTTTGACGCCGTCATAATCATTTTTAACGGCGCACTACGTTTTTTGACGTTAAAAGTATGACGATGCATTGGTTCAGATGGCAAGCCATAAATGTAAACCATGATACGTCATAATATGACATGAGGTGGGACCAACGGAGAGTAGTTTTTGTTCGCGTCATTGATATGCTATTACCCGAGCAGATGAGATCAAAATAAATAGTCATCTGGCACTGAATCATCTCGAGCAATTGACACCTTTATGCGAATACTACTATAAAAGACCAAGTTATGATATTCTCGAACCACAATCAGCTGAAACCTGGACTGACAACCAAAAGAAGAAACATTAGAAACGATCAAAAGAGATCTCAGAAACGAAGATGATGAGTCGCAAATATAACATCGTGATGCTTGGCGCTGGAGGTGTGGGCAAATCGGCACTAGTGCGCCAATTTCTCTACGGCAAATGGCATCAACAGTACAAACCTACCGTGGAACAATACTACAGGCACCTTATGCGCTTTACACGTAAGTAAAATAAATCATGACAAACTATGACATTGTGTAGTATTTTTGAATTCAATAGAGAAAACATGATCTGAATACTTTGGCAAATGAGTACTCGTGGTCGTTTTTTGAAATTGATATTGCTTAATCTTAAAAATAAGAACGCATCTGCATATCATGTACATGTATGATTTGATTTTATGTTGCAGCGAAAATTTGCCATCCCATCGAGATTTTGGACACAGCTGGCAACTACCAATTTCCAGCTATGCGAGAACTTGCTATTCGTTCAGGACTTGCATTTATGGTCGTATTTGCTGTCGACGATGAAGACTCCCTCAAAACAGCAATCAGACTTCGCAATGAGATCGTCGATATAAAAGGTAAAGCAAGTTTAAATTTTGTAACAATTAGATGACCTCTTATTCTACATATTCTCAATTTCTCCATATCTCACATGCTGCAAGTTTTTTGTACTAATGCTTTGCATCAATTTATTTTAGGCGATCAAGAGGTTCCGGTTGTACTCGTTGGAAATAAAGCTGATGTTCCAGAGAGAAAGGTTAGCGCTGTATCTGCCAAGAGATGCGCTCGATTACATTTCAATCATAATTACATCGAGACGAGTGCCAAATACAATATCAATATAGAGGAGCTTTTCACTGACATTTCTAAAGAACAATTGAACATTGAAATCCCTGCAAAGGCCATGAAGGGGGTTGGGAAGGAACGCAACGTCAAGACAATATTTCAAAGGATCTTAAAACGAAACGCTATCCACAAGAACAATGAAGATAAACAATTGAAGACTTTAAGTCGCCGTTGTAGCTCGGAATCTAGCAATACATTTCCCTCGCAGCCGACAAAATCAGACGGGCTATTCATGAGACTCTCGAGAACAATGCTCTCGTCTTTCGGCATTCTAAAGCGGCGAAAACCACGTCAAATCGAACAGGAGACTGGCAACGATAGCTTAAGTGCCCATGGATCATCTGAAATGCACATGGGCAGAAGTGAAGATACATTAGCGAGTGTCGATGACACTCGAATAAAATACGAACTGGTCGTACCAAAAGCAAATGTTACAAGATCGCAGTCCATCCCTAAAAGCACAAGGTACTTCGAAGACTCTCCGTTTTTGGTCCAGCAATCATTCAATGACATTAATCAGCCTTCCGTTCGGTCAATGCTCACTGACGCTGATCAAAAGCGAGTTAGATGTTACAACTTACCTAGGACGCAACCCACATTTAGTGAAATGTGGGAGTGTGCAGAAGTACAGTTTGCCGATACAGAAAGGAAATTGTGATTTTGAAAATGTGCAGTTTCTTTGAAAATGTGCAGTTTCTCAGTAATATCAAATAACGCACAAGGTAGACCAACAGTCTATTTTAAGTATGATCTTCCATTTTCGATTGTTGATGCAAAAGACATGAAAAGTACCATCAAATATAAGATGTATCATTATTAACAAAATGTGTATACGTCTAGTATATAGTACATGTATTTTTGTGCTTTATTTCAATAAAATACTCAGAATTATCGTATGATCTGTAAAATGAAGCCCTTTGATTGGTCAGTTCTTGTGCTGTACCTATCTGTATTGCTACTGAGATTGCCCCCGTTGATCATCTCCGTCGCAATACAGAAAATATTGGTACGGAGGGGAAATTCTCAGTAGCAATACAGAGGATCACACGATAAAAACGTTGTTGAATGATTTGAAGTGCAATACAGGACATATTCTGTCTCGATATTCTGTATTTGGACTCGACTTCGTCTCGTTCCAATACGTAATTTCTCGAGCAGAATATGTCCTGTATTGCACTTCAAATCATTCAATAACTTAAAGTATAATACACCATTGTGGTATTCAGTTATCGTTTGACTTTTTTCGTTTTCATTCCTTTAAAATTGTTAATACATTTATACATAAACATGTTTTAAAATTTGGTTCAGTTTTTTGTTTGACAGTTCATACCGGTCCTTTTATCAATTCAGGAAATAACCATGCATTTCAGTCTCTTGTTAGTCTCTCTGATTATTTCAAATCGGATCGATTTTCGTTAGATAAGAAATGCTGACCATTCTTTTTTTTAATTCATCGGTCATTTTTAGTTTCCTTCTTGAGAGGAGCCCCCTATGTCATAAGGCATTAGATCATAGGGTTTGATCCAAGCCTGACTGGAAGTATCCGAATTCTCTCACGGACATTCTGACTGCCGGACAAACGACATTACTTTATCAATATGATACATAGTACAGCCAATTCACTAACAATTGCCATAGTAGCGTCTGGTGCAGGCTGTTATAGTATATGCAATCAAATTATGAACATTAGTATGCTGTCAATTTAGCAATTATAAACACTATGCTTGCCGGTAGCCAGCTTTTACCAGGAGGGGGAGCTTTTTTCCAGGTGGGGGGGGGGCTTTTTCATAATTTTGGCTAAAAATCATGCGAAAAATTCTCAGAATGGTGAAAAACTGCATGATTTTGAAAGAATTTCTGACCAGCTCCCACTCTGGCTACGGGCCTGCTATGTTCCAGAGGGGATAAGACGTTTTACCCTCAAGCACACAATCCCTGCGTATAGTCCATAAGCTTTTATTTCACCTTTTTAAACGGAACGCCTAATGGTTTATTTCAAATGGTATATGTATACCAATGTCTCCGATCTTGTTGCTGTGGTGCTTGTCGAATTTTTCATTTTGCGAGACGGTGAAGTAGTTTTTCCAATCGCCAACCTTTCCTTAAAATAGATGTGGAACATACAAGGTGATTAAAAATCAATGGCATAGATTTTCATCATTGCTTTTTTAGTTTAGTCAATTTATATAGAGGGCTTCGCTGTGTTTTCCATTCAGGATTCAAGGATTCAAAAAATTCATTTCTTTTTCATGTTTCTCTCAAGCAATAAGGATGAGCCCTTCTTCCTAAAATAAATGTGGTACAAAAGGCCAAAAACGTAAATATATGGATTGTTTAACTTTCCATTTTATAAGGTATTCATTTTGAGGATTCTCCGGGTGCTATTCTATCACATTGCTTACTGTAAATAGAAACAGCCTCGTGAGAACTACATCGTTTGCTATCAGTTTGATGGCAAAATTCTCATTCGTGAGTTTAAGCAAATCCACTTTCTAACATATTAATGGGGTTCATTACACATAAAGCACAATGCTTATCGCAAAAATGACGAGCTCAATCATCTCCAGGTAAAGTTCTGAGCACAAAACAAAGTAAATTTTCTATACTAACCCTTTCTCATAAACTTTGGTATTGATTGGTCAAATATGCAGACACCCTGGTTGTTCTTGGCCGTACGGCGCATCTTGTCGAAGTTCGTGGCCTTTGCAATACCCTTTGTGATTTCCTCCGAAACAGGTTTGTCAAGGAATGCAGCGAGACGCTCTATTTCCTTTTGTGGATGCTAAAAAAACACTCAATGTCAGTTGACGGCAGTAATTTATAAGTACATACAGGGTGGGCGAAAAACGTTCACATTTTTTATTTCGATAGAACTTTTTTGAAAATCCATGAAGGTCAATAAAATTTTGGCAGGATATGCAGAAATCAATTTTACAATTGACCCTTAAGTGGTATTTATATATCTTTGGGGTTTTTGAGTAATAAAATGTAAACAGAGACTATGGGTTTATTTGAAAAATTACAGCATCCAGAATGTTATTCGAAGCAACACTTTTACACTAATTTTAGCCATGCCTCTTTAAGTCCCAGATTGACAAATTAATGGGTCTGTCAGAGAAACACATGGGGTAGGGGGTTCAGTATATTCTGAATTAATTTCCAGAAAAGATTGAATTACATTAAAGAACCTGTTTCTTCATTGTTCTATAAAACTCAGATTGATACTAAATATCAATGTCAAGCCAATAAGAGAACATCATTTTTAATCTCTTTCGCCTTTCAGTTCCATTTTTTTCTTGATGTTGAACCACTTATCTTCCCTATCGGTCTCAATACACTCCCAATGCTTTCATTTCTATAGGAAATATAGATTATAATAGTGTATACATAAAACATAACATGTTTCTCTAGCATATCTGGCTGGATGTATACAAAGTCAATCTGAAAATGTTATTTGAGGCATGATTGTTTTCATTATTGTAAAATTGTTGCTTTGAACTTGATCCTGAAATCTGGAAATTTTCATTTGGACCCCAAGTGTCTGTCAACGCAATGACTGTATGTTTACATAGTAGCCCGGACAGAATTGTTCAATGGTCACTTTTTATTTAATAACTTTTTTTACTTTCAGTATTGTCAACATTTAATTACATATTTGAAAACTAGAGTAAAATTCTGACATACGAAAAAATATTTAGGGAACATCTCATTAGATATTGATATTATAGGCGTTCATAGTATGAGTGACGCAAATACATAGTTCACCATTTTGTCTCATAATTTGTTCAAAAGTGGCGGCATGTTTTGTGGTTTGAATGTTCAGTTGAAAGTTAATATTTAAGAAATGTCATAGGCCTACGAAATCATGTAGACTGCTGCCTTGGTATGAGGTAATGACTGCATTTATAACCTTTTGTTTTAAATTGACTTGTATGTATACCAGTACTTAAAAAGGTTTTACATTGTATGTACAGTATATTAGTAAGGTTGCAGGACTTAAAGTTTTTTTAGTCGTAGTGGATTAGCAACCCTAGTTCGTTTAACCTGTGCAACTTTATGGTCATACTGCCACAGTTTGTAATGTCTTTCCCAGTCACATGCCTCTTAACCCATCCTTGGCATGCATATGAATTATTCTTCAGCTTTTGAATGGCCTCTGAGATGGCTGTTTGGAGCTCTTGAAAAGATTGAGGACCTGATCTCATCACACCCAGTACATTTGGGCGCCACCTATTCAGATCCTCTTGAACACAACCCCGAACATTTCAATAGAGTTGATTTCATATCCCCTTGGAGGTGTTGACTTCTTGTATTTGATGATTGGTCAGTTGCTGCATTACATCAGGATTGTAATGGTGGCAGCATGGCCCTGTAGTCCTATGACAATCTTTAATATTAACTTTCAATTGAACATTCAAATTCACAAAACATGTCGCAAATTTGAACAAATACGAGGCAAAATAATGAATTATGTATTTGCGTCAGTAATACTATGAACCCCTATAGTATCAATACATTAAGAGATGTTCCTTAAATATTTTTTTGTATGTCAGAATTTTACTCTAGTTTTCAAATATGTGATCAGACTTTGACAATACTGAAAATTAAAAAGTTATTAAAGAAAAAGTGGCCATTGAACAATTCTGTCCGGGCTACTATATTGTTCAAAAACCTCTTAGGATTTATTAATCTCACTTTTGGTTTTGGTACATTTGTAAAATAGATTTCAAAAGATGTTAGTTGCCTATTCTGCTAAAATTTTATGTAAATCTATACATTTTCAAAATAGTTGAATCCAAATAAAAAATGTGGACGTTTTTTGACCCACGTTGTAATGTATTTATAACGAAAATTATGTAATCAAGTCCATACCTGATTTTAGATCCTATGTATTCAAGTTATTTAGCGTGTAACTATTTATACAAAATATGACGTCAAATGTAATCTCAAATAAAAAATGCAAAATATGACGTCGAATTTGATTTCAAATAAAAATACAAGATATGAAGTCAAATATAGTCTCAAATACTAGTATGATATGAACAAAAGAATAGACCTTTAAGACTCAATTAGGCGGTTCTTACACTTTATACAAGATTCAAATGCCAAAGATAGACAACGCTACACTGAATTGTAATAAACCCTCAGATAAGTTAGCTACGTTTTAAACAACGTTGCAATGTCTGAGTGCTATAATCTAAATCTACCCTCTAAGTCAGTTACGTTTTAAAGAACGCTACAATAAATTGTGTTGTACGTATCATTGAAGTTAGCTACGTTTAAACAAAGCTACAACGACGTTATAGTTAAAATCTAAGTTAAGGTTGTTTTGTAGATATTTGAAAATGTACTGCATCCTCGTTGAAAGAGCTCCTTCTGGCGTCATCACATGTCCGAGCAGCTGTCTTCGGTTAAGCCATAGGCTTTCAAGCTTGAAAGCCCCTGGTTATGCTGCTCCACAAATGGTATAGAAACATGTTAATAAGTGGCCTCTTAACTATTATTAGTACCAGTTCTAATATGTATTTGGTGTTTTCTGGAGTAATACAAGTCGGTAGAAGTTGATATGCATTTACAATGAGCAAACACTTGTTCTTGTTTCTAAATCTCTTTCGATCTGTAAAACCCCAAATGCATAAAGAACTGATACTGATGTGTTCAAATACAATGATTGTTAAGATGTTAAACATTTAATGCAAAATAAAAACCTTCTTCATGTCTTCAAAACAACAGAAGTGTATGTTGGAGTCCTTGGCGTGGAGCCACCAGCTTAAGACGTGTTCATACCAATCTCCGAGGACAACTGAAAGCAGTTGCAAAACAATGGCATCACGTACATGCAAGGGTCCAACAAGTGGACGTCAGACAGACAGTCAGACAGACACTCGTCGCAACATTACTAAAGCGAGTAATGTAATTTTTATGAGTCGAGAATAAATCTGCTAATATAAAATATTGGATATATTTAGTAAATAAATCTGCTTATATAAAATATTGGATATATTTAGTAAATAAATCTGCTAATATAAAATATTGGATATATTTAGTAAATAAATCTGCTTATATAAAATATTGGATATATTTAGTAAATAAATCTGCTAATATAAAATATTGGATATATTTAGTAAGTGAATATGCTAATATAAAATATTGATTATATTTAGTAAATATAGCGATAAATATTTAAATATGGATTGGATTGAGTGGATTGGTTTCATGTAAAAGGTGGGTTGAATTTGATTAGACCAGGAATTGATAAGAAATGGAATTTCTAAAATGCATTGAAATCTTACTATTGATCTATTACTGGAGTACAGAGCTGTGATACGAGTTGAAAATTGTCTTCCATATAGTAAAATTGTTTTATTAACAGGGTGAGTCAAAAGTGTAACCATCTGGTTTGGTATAAGGTTTTCAATCATGATAGAATATTAAATTGTCCTTTCTGACAAACGAAACCACCACCGAAGAGCATCCGCTGAAGATGCATACTTCGTTTTTTTTGTTTTGTTTTGGGTTTATCTTGCTATCAATCGATTTTAATGCAGGACATTAATATTTAAAGAAAGAATGTATATATGATATTTATTTTTTCATATAAGTATGGTTCAATTTACTTATGTAGTCACATACTTGTAAATAAATGTAATTATGCATTATATTTTGATCATACTACTTTAACTCGAGCTTTTAGATTAAACTGTGGAAATCCATAATATGCATATTCTCGATCCAATTCACATTTTACACGAAACCAACCTATTCCAATCTACTCGATCGAATCCATATTTTAATACTTACTGCTAATATACAATATTGAATAATATTAAGTAAATAAATCTGCTAATATAAAATAGTGAATATATTAAGTAAATAAATCTGCTAATAAAAATATTGGATATATTTCGTAAGTAAATCTGCTAATATACACTGATATAAAATATTGGATATATTTAGTAAGTAAATCTGCTAATATAAAATATTGGATATATTTAGTAAGTAAATATGCTAATATAAAATATTGGATATATTTAGTAAGTAAATATGCTTATATAAAATAGTGGATACGTTTAGTAAATAAATCTGCTAATATAAATTTATATTAGATATATTTAGTAAGTAAATCTGCTAATATAAAATATTGGATACATTTAGTAAATAAATCAGCTAATATCTGAATATAAGATATTGGATAAAAGTAAATAGGCCCAACCCTGCATAAAATATTGGATATGCTTATGATCTGCTACAAAATTAACATGGTATATTTCACAGACCAAATCATTAAATTTAGGGTTATCCAAAATTAACAGGTCATCGGTATACCTACTTGTATGATTTTATTAAATCTATCACATTTCATTGTTTCATTTCAAATACTTCCTCTTTCCATTTGTCATCAGGAATTGATGTGTAAATTGTAGAAAAATTCCATGTCGAAATACATTTTTTAAATGAATTAGGTTACTAAATTTCGATAAACGGTCTTCATTTTTTAAGGATTCAAGTGTGATTACCCCGGAATTTCAAAAAAGCATTGGACTACACTAGGACGACCTAGCTTGATATGGATCTTAATGTAATATAGGTATTCACTAAATGTTACTATAGGCAAATGTTCTTGTTAAACGAAACTCAATAAGTCTAGCTTTATATGGATTACAACGTAATTTAGGTATCCAATAAATTTTAGGCAAATGTTCTTGTTTCTCTGTTGGTTTAATGTTATGTTTATTCAAAAAGTCTAGATGGTTCTTCCCAAAATAACCCAAACAATAATAACGAATATCTTGGACTCGAGGCTGCTCATGAATCAAGGCACTTACACTTTGTAAAACCATAGATGTGTTTCTATTGATTTATATGGTGACCTAATTACAATTATTTTCCTTATTATTTATACACAGTCAGGACCAGTTAGGGCCGTAAGGAAAGGGGACCATAATCCCCAGGGGACCATAGTTTCTTTTACACCGGGACTTGGACCCGTTTGAGGGCGACACTGACCAATGAACGAGAATTCCAGAAGAGGGCTAGATTCTCATTTTGTCATGATAGAAAACAAGAGGATCCACAGACCATAATATTAAGCAAGTATAATATAAGTAGCACTGAAGAAACTGCGATTTCATTGGTCCTAATTGGAATATACTGCTCGGTGTTAGTTGTTGTGTGTTACAAGTGTAACTTGGGCATATAAAACTATTGCAAAGAAGTGTAAGTGCCTTTTAAAAACAATTGCAAAATAGTGTTGGAGCCCATTCGAGCCATGCTGTTGAAAGATTGGATATAGTAAATGAATATGCAAATATAAAATATCGGGTATAATTAGAAAACAAGTCTGCATAAGTAAAATATTGGATACATTTAGTAAATAAATCTGCTAATATAAAAGATTGGATATATTTAGTAAATCTGCTCATGTGGTATATTTACCAAATCTGCCAATATAAAAGATGGTGTATGTAATTATGATAAACAACAATAGCATACATTCTGAGAAATTAGCATACCTTCTCCTTTGTGGAAAACTTCTAAGAATTGCTCCCAAGACCCATCGTAAAGTCCAAGTGCGTTTGTATTCTTGTGGTAGTGGAAATAACTGACAGCGACATCTTTTGGATTCCTCACAATGCATATGGTCTAAAAACATATATACAATTATACATCTGTTTGGAGAGGGAGTTGAATCGTTAGAAGTGGTTGTCTCCTTCCATGCGTTATACAATGTGTATATTGAATTACTAATGGTAAGTTTTAAGAAGTAACATTTATTTGAAATCATGTGAGTTCGTATAATTCTTTAACATCATTTGTACTACATTTTGACAAGAACCTGATCCATATTGATGTTAATAATTTATGATTTTACTTTATATCTGATGTCCATTAAAATCTGATGAATTAAGATAAATGAGAATGGACGCGTGCTAGTATGCGACTTACTTTACATTTACCGGCCTTGACCCCAGGGGGCATGTACTCATATGGTAAGTGGGTAGCTAATACTCTGGGTGATGGTAGGTTACTTATCATAGGCAGTAGGTCGTCGTTTTCTAAAATCAAAAATATATAAGGACTTACAGTGTGGGAAAATCTAGTTTCGGGAAATAACCGGAGTATGACATTTTACTATGACATACCGAGAAAGCACTATATTTATTTTTGAACCTAAAAGTTGCTTATTCTCGGACAAAATAAACCACCAGTGCAATGGCCAAATCAATCAATTTGCAGAATCTTTTTTGGAACGGCCAGTTCTGATGATGTAATATGGAGTAATTGGAAAAGTCGAAGCAGACGTCCTACACTTCCAAAGATCGTTTTTCCAAACTTCGCCCACAATAATTAACACAAATGCTTAATTTTTGGGATACTTAATCCTGGATTTACGGATTGAATTGACGAATAAATGTTTTGTTCATACTTTTTGCATTGATTACCGCTGAGGTGATAGCTAAAACAAAATGAGATCATCCTCACCCTTTGTTGTTAGACTCGGAACGAAGTCTATGCTATGCATTCGGAGTTTCTTGCCATTTTGTTGACCAAATAACAGCGACAGGATCTCCTCTAGCCAATGGGTACCTACAATATACAGAAACCATCATCGTGAAGGTATGAATGTGACTTGATTCGCAATTTTTGACGATTTTTGGAAAGTCCGCATACTTTAAAATGCAGTGTTGTAAAAACCCTTGACATTTATTGCGACAGAAACCTGTGATATTCTTTTGTTTGAAGCAGAAGAAGTGAGTAGCTCCCATAATTCTTTCATATTCTATCGTATTCGGGGATTCCCCATTACGTCATCTCCCGCATCACCTCCAGTCAAATTGCAGGATGCGATCACGTGAACAATCGTGGAAATGGCGTAAACATCTGATCAATATCATCATTTTAAACCTACAGAAATACTATTGAAGTTACTCGATCCAAACGTGTAAAGAATACTCATGAAACTACAGCGAACATTGGGAGATTCAGTTCAATGGCAAATGAGGCCTGTTTATAAAATTTGTTTTCTAACGTGTCAATATGAAAGGTCACCTTTGGGAAATCGCCCCTCGTGTGTTTGAAGCGCGTTTACAAACTTTTTAACCGCCATTTTGTCGCATTCAGATGCAAAGGATTGGTATCGATATGGTGAACTAAATTCAACAATGTTTTTATCTTAAACCAATTATTGAAATCATTCTGTAAAAACACGGTCCTTTATGTAATGTTGACTGATTGACAACTATTTAATGCGAACATAATTTATAAATATTTTATTCAACTGTTTTTGTTAGCATTATTGTTTTTAGTGCAATTGTTTTTTGTTCCTTTTTACCAATTCTTGAGAATGAAATTAAATATCTTTCCGAAGCTTGTTGGAACAAAATAGCATATACAACATTTTCTTAGACCTCTCAATATTATTATAGTTATACAAAGAAAATTTTGGTTGGTTTAAGAAAAAGAATTCAAAAAATCAAAACAAAAACCCCTAAAATAGATAAAAATTAAGATAAACCTTTTATTTCATTAACAAGATACTTTTCTAAAATGAACCAAACTTTCTTTTGTATAATTACAATATTGAGAGACCTAAACACGTTGTGTTTATGTCATTTTGTTCCGACGAGGTTCGGATAGATGTTTCATTTCATTTCGAACATATGATACTAAGAACGAAAGAAGTGTCAGATGTGTTTTCTAAAACAATATAGAGAAAAGTATATATATTTATTTCAAATTATATTGTTACCATTCAAAGCATGACCATAAATTGATAATGTGTAAATGTCTTTCCTAACCTTGTTGGAACAAAATAGCATATTCAACATTTTCTTAGACCTCTCAATAGTATACTAGTTATACAATGGGAATTTTGGTTGATTTAACAAAAAGTATGCAAAAACTTAAAACAAAACCCCCCAAAATAGATAAAAATTAAGATAAACCTTTTATTTCATTAACAAGATATCTTTTTTAAATCAACCATACTTTCCTTTGTACAATTCCAATATTGAGAAAAAGAATTCAAAAAATTAAAACAAAAACCCCTAAAATAGATTAAAAAATAAGATAAACCTTTTATTTCATTAACAAGATACTTTTTTAAAATCAACCAAATTTGTTTTGTATAATTACAATATTGAGAGACCTAAACACGTTGTGTTTATGTCATTTTGTTCCGACGAGGTTCGGATAGATGTTTCATTTCATTTCGAACAAAGAACGAAAGAAGTGTCAGATGTGTAACAATATAGAGAAATGTAAATAATATTTTCAAACTCTGAGATTTTCACAGCTAATTTCCCGATATTCACTTTCGAAACTTTAACTCAATTTGAAAAGCGATAATGCTTTATGTTATTTGAACGTAGTAATACATAGAGTAGCTATTTAACATAATAATCGTCGTCTAACATTTCCACTTGAAAAAACAACCTGTAGAGCCCTTCATGATCAATACAGGCGGCTAGCAACTTTCGCCAAGGGGGTCAGATTTTTTATTTTTTTAAATTCCAGGGAGGGGGTCAAATTTGACATTTCCAAAATAGCATATGATTTTGAAAGGCTTTTTGGTCAGGTGGAGGGGTTCATTCAAACCCCCTCCCCCCGAAACAGGATGACAAATAACCGTAATAAGGAACTTAAACACAGTTGATAGACAAAATAGCAATAGCTATATGATTTTGAAAGAATTTTTGGTCAGGTGGAGGGGTTCAATCATTCTAGCCCCCTCCCCCCGAAACAGCATGACAAATAACCGTAATAAGGAACTTCTAAACACAGTTGATAAACCAATAAGTATTTTGTTTTTTTAACTTTAACTTACTAGATGAACGGATCGCAACATAATTAATCAACAATTGTCCTCCAGTTAACATCGTAAGTGCTAATAAGTCAATATCACGCGCGGGGATCACATCGTTCTCAAGTACACTGGCAATGAACCTTTGTGGCACGCACTCAAACTATGATTATTTAATCACTGACAACCCCTTATTTGGTTTTCCCCTTCCATATTAGGGATGCACAGAGATGTTGTTTGACGACTGGTCGAACAATGCACGTCCAAAGGTTGATAGTTTAATCGATCGCACGTCATCATCTATGCATATAATCTAAAAATATTTTTGATCTCAACACTAGAACTAAAACTTTACTTCAAAACCAAACATAATTTTTATGCAGTAAATCGATTCAAATCGATTGGCCGATTGATACAATGTCTCCTTTACTAGCTACTTATTATAACAATATTCTGCATTATAAATTCAAGTAGAGGTGATATATGTATCATGTATACAAAGTAGAAGTAGCTGATTTGTAGATAATTCAAGTAGAATATTATCACAACGAGTGATTCTCTCCTTCAGTTTTGTGTAACTTGGGAATATTGAGTAGAATTTTAATGTTTGTTGAATAACTTGATCGATCGTCTTCTTATCTTTGATTTGAGTTGCGATAATCAAAATGTTAAAAAACTGCCAGTCATACTTGGTGACTTAGCACATTATACATGGGCATCAGAACGGGAGGGGGGGTGCAGCGTTGGGTGATCCCGTTTTGATCCAATCCCCAGAGATTTCGCTCTTGGTGCTGAGGAAGAGACTCGGAAGAAAGAAAAAATAGTTGGAGAGGTCAGGCATCCCGTGCAACTTATGATGATGGAGATTTTTCTAAATGTAGATCCACCCCCACGAAAAAATCCTGAGGGAATATAATATGCACTATGAATTTCTAGGAAATCCACGACAGTGAAATTCTTAATTTGTAACTGAAAATGCAGACAGCGTAAAATTTAATTCTAAGATGGTTTATAATGCAAGACTAGCAGGGTAGCTGCTAGGGTAAGAAGGGTAGCTCCGTGTTTCGGTTCGAATAATTAATAAAAAAATGTGATATGTAATATACTAGTGCCACTATTCTAAAAAATAAAAATTTGTAAATTTTACTAAATACCCCTGGAAACGAGAAAATTTTCATTTGAGAACTGATTGGATTTTCCAACTCTGGAATAAATATTATTCGGAAACATTTTTTAAGAATAATCTTCATCGCTTGATTTTATCTTGAATGAAAGTGTCTTATAAAATATCTTTTGTCTTTTGATAAATGTCTTATAAAAATAAGCGCTCTTTATTAAAACCTGACATCGCCGCTTTTTCAACTATTCGCACAAAGCATATTATCATTTTAATTGAACCTATGCCATTAGATCTATATTTTCGTACCTGATTTAGGATAACCTGCTACTAAGACATCGTCATCTCGTATTTCCATATCCTGAAGATTTCTGATGTTATCCTCTTTCACGACAGGGATGAGTGGCAGTGATTTGACGTGATGTAGACCTGGGACGGACTCTTTGTAATGTTCAAGAGCATCCCGGGAACCTTCGATATTACTGTTTTCTTCCGATACCTTTTCGACAGACATCACAGGGAATGATTTGATGTGACGAAGTCCTGGAACAGACAAGTCATTGTAATTTCCTTGCGTAGCTGAAGGCATCCTGCTTTCGTGGGAGAAGCGGCAGATAGATGATCGTTCCAGAGTTGTACGTGAAAGAGTACATATCCAAGCGACCAACTTCTTATAAACTTGATATCATCACGTGCATCTATTGACATTGCATTATAGATTAGAACGTTCATTCAACTTTGCATAACTTGAAATAAGCGAGATGATAATATTAAAGGGACCAGTCCTCAAGTTCGACGTCGGAGCGTTTCTGCGGCACATTTTCTCATATAAAATGGACTGCGTGTTGTTATTACATCTCATTAAATTGTTCAAAAACATGTATTAAAAACATATAAGATGATAAATCATTTAATGGAGCTTTCTGACATAATTCTGCAAAATTACCCACAATAGCAGTTTTTGATGATTTCTTTTCAGAGCTGATTTTTATTTGAAAAAATTTACCAATATTTTTACCAAAAGATTTTTTCCATTGGTATTTTTCTCAAAATATGCCATTTTTGGATTGATAAGACGTATTTAAGAATCGACAAAATGCTTGCATTCGCATAAAATGATTATTTTTAAGTTAAATTTGTTCATTTGATTTTATCTCGATATTATGCATATTTTTCTAGAATTGGCACATTTCTTCAAATAATTTCCTGCAAAATCTGCAAAAATCTGCTAATCTGTTACTATGGAAGTTGTAGATGTCAGGAAACAAAACCAATCTAGGCAATTTTTTCAAATTCGCATTCGTCATTTTACTCTTGAAACCTCCCCTGAAACAAAAGTGGAGTATTTCTAATTTAATCTAAAATATGTCTGTCGAATAAGTCAGTTTACATTATTGAATTATTAGGGAATTTTCCCCATGTTTTGAAGGTTTTAAGGCAGTGTATAAATTAATATCTAACTAAGTGTAGATTTAGTGTTTGATCTACATCAATTAATAACAGCATCATCTTTAGAGATAACAATTATGAAGTCCTCTGAAAGTTTAAGGGACCCGTAGTTTAATTGCTTGTTTATTTTTTAAGAATTACTTACTGGTGACTAGGGCAGGGGTTTAACCATAATTTACAAATCTATCTAGTTTTGTTTTCCTCACGTTTGCCTTTCAAAAAGCGCTGTGTGTATCCAGAACAGCCTATCAAAGAGCGCTGCGTGTACCAAGAACAGCCTTTCAAAGAGCGCTGCGTGTACCAAGAACAGCCTTTTAAAGAGCGTTGCGTGTACCCAGAACAGCCTTTCAAAGAGCGCTGCGTGTACCCAGAACAGCCTTTAAAAGAGCGCTGCGTGTACCCAGAACAGCCTTTCAAAGAGCGCTGCGTGTACCCCAGAACAGCCTTTCAAAGAACGCTGCGTGTACCCAGAAAAGCCTTTGAAAGAGCGCTGCATGTACCCAGAACAGCCTTTAAAAGAGCGCTGAGTGTACCCAGAACAGCCTTTCAAAGAACGCTGCGTGTACCCAGAACAGCCTTTCAAAGAGCGCTGCGTGTACCCAGAACAGCCTTTCAAAGAGCGCTGCGTGTACCCAGAACAGCCTTTCAAAGAGCGCTGCGTGTATCCAGAACAGCTTTTCAAAGAGCGCTGCGTGTACCCAGAACAGCCTTTCAAAGAGCGCTGCGTGTACCAAGAACAGCCTTTCAAACATCGCTGCGTGTACCCAGAACAGCCTTTCAAAGAGCGCTGCGTGTACCCAGAACAGCCTTTCAAAGAGCGCTGCGTGTACCCAGAACAGCCTTTCAAAGAGCGATGCGTGTACCCAGAACAGCCTTTAAAAGAGCGCTGCGTGTACCCGGAACAGCCTTTCAAAGAGCGCTGCGTGTACCCGGAACAGCCTTTCAAAGAGCGCTGTGTGTACCCAGAACAGCCTTTCAGAGAGCGCTGCGTGTACCCAGAACAGCCTTTCAAAGAGCGCTGCGTGTACCCAGAACAGCCTTTCAAAGAGCGCTGCGTGTACCCAGAACACTATCGACAGCTTTGCATTCAAATTCGAACCTTTGTATTCAAAATTATTGTTTTGTACTAATTATTCTCAAAAAGGGGTTGATCATGATGAGAAATGTAATGTTTCAGAAAAAATTATCCTTAATGAAAAAAGACAAAGATGATCCATAGTGAAAAAGACGAGATATGTTAATGAATGATGTGATCATTTATGATAAAAAAGACAAGATACGTATGATCATGGGCTTTCAAGAGAGAGTTGATACAAGAGAGATCATATGATCAATGATGATGTTATTCTTTATGATACAAAATGCTGTGGTCCTTTATAATAAAAAGGTAAGAGATGATCCGTAAAGACAAGATACGATCCCTAATGAAAAAGACAAGATACAGGGTGTTCCAAAAGTAACAGGACTGGTGCTGGTATTTTGTTAAATATGCACCAATCGTCTTCAAAATTTTACATGATGTACTTTCATGTATTGTAACTAGGATTCCAAAGTTTCCACAAAAATTATGAAACTCAGGTAGAGTTATGGTTGCTATGGTAACATGACATCACAATACCCGGGGCAACATTCCACTCAGAAAGTTACGGAGACTCTTACAGAGACTTTTAATGTTTTGTACATCCCATATCAAAGTTGAAATGCAACAACTGGTGGGAATTACATTTGCTTTATATAATTTGATATTCTTATGTATTCTCTACTTTGAAAAGTAGGCTCCTCTTTGGTCTGTAGCACTCTGTATCCATGTCTCAAATACATGAGTGAACCCATTTGAAGACATGTCACTCAGGGTCGATTAGACAACTTGGAGAAGGTCATTCTTATCTTTAAAGGTCTTACCACGCTCCTCTATAGCTGCAGTGGTCTTTAAAGCTGACTTGCTGGGAGACATGTCATCAAAGTGGATGACTTTTCAAGAACTCAACCGTGAATTGTGCAGACCGTTATACAGACTGATATCCCAGGAAATTGAATGAATATTATATCATTATATAATCATACTTGAATCTTAGTTGTATAGCAATACCATTACAACAAAGCAAATAATAAAACAAACAAGAAATGTTGTATTATAATAGGTGAATTAGATACTTTCTTCAGTAACACAAAAATGTTAGATATCACATTTTCATGAAAAAGTTGCCCCGGGTATTGTGATGTCATGTTACTATAGTAACCATAACTCTACCCACATATTATCATTTTTTCTGAAACTTTACAATTTTACTAACAATACTTCAAAGTACAATTTGTGAAAATTTGAAGACACTTGGTGCAGAATTGACAAAATGCCAGCACCAGTCCTGTTATTTTTGGAACACCCTGTATGCTCATTAATGATATGATCCTTTATGATAGAAAGGCAAGGCATGAAAAAGACAAGATATGATGATTTATAATATGATCATTTATGACAAAAAACATGAGATGATCCTTTATGAAAAAGACAAGATATGATCCTAAATTAAAAAGACAAGATCGTTGATGATGTGATCCTTTATGATAAATGAAAAAGACAAGATATGATCCTTAATAAAAAGGACAAGATATGATTATGAATGAAAAGGACATGATACGATCATTAATGATATTAGATCTTTAATGCAAAAGAAACGATATGATCATTGATGATGTGTTCCTTTATGATGAATCTAAAATGCAGGAGATGATCCGTAATGACAAAGACAATAATTACTGTCTTTTAAATATTTCTCCTTTTGGAGATATCCAGTGCCACATTGTTGTTTTAAGTGCAAAATGAGGAAAACTTTAGGTTCACCTTGTCATATCTGTTTGGGTAGGCAGCAGAGCCAATCAGATACCTAATTTTTATCATGTGACTAACATCGGTACCCCAGTCACATTTCCCACGGACGCCGTGCGGTCTATCATTTCTGCGACCAGTAGCTTTTCTACGCTCGCCGTAGAATTTCTGCGCTCTCATACTTTTGCAGTCACATTTCCCACGGTAGCCGCACGGTGAATTTTAAATTTCTGTTGATAAATAATACTTTTTTTCATTTTATTTACATCAGGACAATTTATAAATGTTATTCATAGTGCTAGGATGTAATATCAAATGAAAAGTGATCGTGAAATATTGACAAATAATGATTCAATCTTGTTGAGCCAGTTGATTTCTACGGGGACCTCAGAAAGGAACAAATATTATAACTCCGAGTTATAATTTCTACGGCGACCCTGCGGCCTGTAAAAAACTGGATACGCCGTTCGGAGGCCTACGCTCGCCGCAGAAATACACTGATTTGATCTGCGGTCGACTTACGGCCGCCGTACGATAAATGTGACTGGGGTGTTATAGTTATAACAATGTGGAAATAATGGGACGATCTCTTACTAGTATACTTTGCAGGTAATTAACAAAGGAGATCATAAATCATGACACCATACATGTAGTACAAACAAAAGAAAGCAGATTTGACATTATTTGTTACAAAAACGTTTCATTCAGTGAACTTAATCAATTACTGACCCTGTTATAACCTTTTTACCTTTTGTCATGTACCCTTTAAAGATCTGTTGGATTTATCCGAAATATTTACAATTTTTCGCACTTATGTCGTGTTGTTATGGCAACCACTTGATCAATCATGATCAAACTTGTCATAGCAACTAATTATATATAGATACATAATCCCTAGAGATATGAATGTGATTGAAGGTAACAGAAACTATGGATGATTATCATAGTACCCCCTCATAAAAGTAGCCAGGGGGGGGGGGGTTAATAAATGGCAATTATTCGCAGGTGCTAAAAAACTAGACCCTATTATTTTCAAAATCAATGAGAAATGATATAATTCATAATTTAACATAATTAGAAAAATGCAATACTGTAAGCAAAAACATGGACCAAGCTCATCCAGTACCTTATCAGTCAAAATGGAACACAAGCCATATTCTTTATAATTAGATGTGCAGAATAATGGTATACGAGACAAAAACAAAATTGAAATGAATAAAAATTCAGTTTTCAGGGTTATTTTGATATTTCAAAATCAAGAAACCATAAAAAAATATATGTTTTATTTATTTTTAATCAGTGATTTTTGCGCTGTAAGGCCTACACATACACACGATTACCTATATGAAAAAATAAGTTTTTAAAAATAACTACTCAAAAGACTTAGTTATGAAGACCTAAACTTCAACCTCAGATTTCTCAATATCAGCGAAAATGCAATTGTAACAATGTGGAAATAATGGGACGATTATAGCTCCACCTTTAAAGATACTGGTGAAAGGAAACATTTTTGAAAAAATGCTATACCTGCACATACCTGCATCATTTCATTGTCTTCTTTTAGTAAACCTGGTAAGTGGTCAATGGTAACTCAAGGAAATGCTTATACCCCAAACATGGGTGCCTTTCCCATTTTCGAAATTTCTTCTCAAAATTTCTTAACAACACTAGATTGCCAGCTCTTACCAGATATACTAAAGAAGACAATGTAATGATACTTTCCTAAAAAAGTCAGGAAAAACACCTGCCTTCATACTTTGTTTTGTGGCAGATAATAACATGTGCAGGTAGCTACTTCCTAAAATTAGAGAAAAGAAACTTTGTTAATAAAACTATGACAAAGCTAACGACAGAAGAGGACAAAACAATAACAAGCCAAAAGGATATAGCTACGGAGCAAGTGGAATAAAAAACTGTATAATTCACAAAAGCCTAACATCACTGAGGACGCCAGTTCTTTCCAAAGGAAAAATCAATAAAATCTCTAGATATAGACATGAAAAACAAATATGAAGGGAAAATAACAGAAATAGAGATAAAGGGCCAAATCAAAAACCTAAAAACGAATAAGTCTCCTGGGTCAGATGGCCTCACAAATGAATTCTACAAAGCCCTGATAGATGAAGTAATAACCTTACTTACAGCTTTAATACAGCATATCATAAGAACAAAGAAGAGGTATCATAACCCTCCTTCCAAAGAAGGACAGAGATCATAAACAGCTAAAAAAATATTGAAGGCCACTCTCCTTACTAAACTCCGACTACAAAATAGCTACAAAATGTATAGCTGAAAGCATAGATCCCGGCCAGATTCTTTTGTAGTAGATTTAGAATCAGTAGCTCAATAATATTTCCTCAAGATGAGACACCTCAGAAAATTTCAAATTTTAAAATGACGATTCTGGAGCCATTTCTGAAAAATATGAGACAAATCATACCTCATTCGAAGGGTCTTGTTATTCTTTACCTTTTTATCACCAATGGCCGTTATTCAAGCAATACTGCGTTGATAAGAGGCCAAAACAGTGATATTTTATCGCCGGACTCTTGTCTGTCCAAATCTGAATGTTGCTCCCGTGGTTCCAGAAATGTGACGTCATCATTACAATGATATTTGGACACACAAGAGTCCGGATTTCGTGAAAAATATTCGCCGTATTGAAAGTCAAATAACTGCATCCATAGGTTATTTACTCGAACCAAACAAGTAGAAATAGAAAGATGAAGATCTCAGCTATAAAATAAGTGCAAAATCTGTCACGGGGAAACAGGTACCATTTTGTATAAGGAACGTTTTGAAAGGTGGTCACTTTTTTTTCGAAATTTTCCAATTTAGTGTCGTATCTTCTGTATTATTCTTTGAGCCTATGATCCTACTACAAAACGATCTGGCCAATATCTGTGGCTGAAAGGATCAAGTAAACTTTAAAACACATCATACACGAAGACCAAACTGAGTTTATAAAAGGACGATACATAGGAGAAAACACCCGCTTAATCATAGACAATGAAGCATCTAAAGAAGACAAACCAACCGGGACTACTAGCTTTCATTGACTTTGAAAAAGCCTTCGATACTCTAGAATGGTCCTTCATAGAAAAATTACTTTTATACTTCGGATTTGGCCCCTTAATCATAAAATGGATTCAAACTTTTTACAAATCAATAGAAAGTTGCATCATGAACAATGGCTACTCATCAAACTACATTTAGAGTATCAAGAAAGTATCATTTAGAGCAATTTATTGGGCACATTTTCTAAAAAATTCAAAAGATTCTGTTTAGTGACCTTTCCTAAGCTCCTACTTTGAGCTATTTTTCAGTAACATTTTCAGAGGGCTGAAAAAGTTATTTCATCATGTTTAAGGTCATTCTGACCATGTACATTGTGATCCTGGTCATGCAAATGATATGTGCAACTACATGTAGTTAAACATGGTTTTGTCACTTCCTGTTTTGTCATTTCCTGTTAAGTACCACGGCACCTTAAGGTAACATTAAAGTTAATTAAATGTACAAAAAATGGCAGCCATATTTTTTCGATAAAGAAACATGGTTATAAAATCTGTTAACCTATATGAGTGTATATTTTGACTGAAGAGACATGTCAAAGTGAACAAAATTTTAACGTGTTTTAAATAACTATGAATTGTAGGTGAATGGGTCCCTAAAGCTAACATGAAAACTGTGAAGTTAGGTTAATTTTTGAAAACTTCAAGGAGTAGGCCTAGAGGTGCTTCACTGTCACATTTGTAACATTCCCAAATTTCCACAAATCATCTTACCTTACCATGGAACATCAAAGGAGCATGAAAACGTGAACTTCTTGCATTGCTAGAGCATAATGAAGCTCAAACATTGTGAATTCTAAATTTGAGCCATGTCCACCATTTTGTTTGCTGAGACTTTTTTTTAGTCCAGAGTAATTCTCATTCATGTATCCATTGTTCATTTATAGAGCCTCGATCATGTATCTATCATGATAATTATACTGTAATAGATAAAATATACTAGTGATAATCCATGCCACTTGGTAAAGTCACAAAACCTGTATGAGGATAAATCAGGAAGTCTACAAATACTGTAGTTCCGGCAAACAAAATGGTGGATGATGAAATATTTATAAGAAACTATTGTTTGAGCTTTATACTCTAACAATACAAGAAGTGTATGTTTTCATGCTCCTTCGCAGTTCCTTGGTAAGGTAAGATGATTTGTGAAAATTTGGGATTCTTGCAAATGTGTGACTTTTGCAAGGCTACTCCTTGAAACTTTCAAAAATTAGCCTCACTTCACGGTCTTCATGCTATCTTTGAGGACCCATGCACCTCCAATTCATAGTTATGAAAAATGCGTTTTAATGTGACATTTCCTTTTACATATCTCTTTAGTCAGGAAATGCATTCACATATAAAACAACTGATACAAAATCTTGTGACTTTATCAAGAAATATGGCTGCCATTCTTTTATACTTTTGATTAACTTTTACTTTACCTTAAGCCTAAATACCCAATCAGGTTTCCATACAAAATATTTCATTAGTTCAAGAAAAAATGTAGATGGATGACTGTCAATTTATAATAAATCAAATCCCCTCTCCGATGGACTGTACGTTCACAGACTACCCCAAAAAATAATCTATTTTTTGAACGAGAATATTCTGCGCGTTTTCACCCCCTGATACTAGTACACAAATCTAAGTGATTACAACAAACATGACATAGCATAATATATGACTATAGATATGTTGTTTAGAAATCTGACCTACCTATCTAAAATACTCCGCCACGATAATGTTTCCACATTCCAAAGTTGAGTAAAATAGTCTCACACATACATATACGAGTATACAGGGTGTTACAGAAGTAACGTCAAAGATATTGCCATTTCAATACTACTGGACCAATCTTGAAACTTGGTACAGATCTTCCCCCAAACATTATTGAGTGTGTTCTCTAAAAATAAAGATTCTCCCGTTTGATTGATTGATTTTATGGTAACTTTGGTAAGTTTTAAAAACTTTATTTCATCAAAATTATGAACATTCAATAACGCAGATGCGAGTAGGTAGTTACCAGTTTCGCCACCAGGTGGCTCGTTCGGGTCAGATAACATGGCGGGTATAGTAGAAAGGTACCTTTAACTTAAATTACATCTGTTTTAGTGGTTCAATTTTTATATAACCCTTATGTATATAATAGTTATGCAAATTAAAATATGTCCAGTAAAGGAAAATATTATCTGTCCAATACAAGAAAAGATATTTCACTTTTTGTGACTTTGTAACATGGGGTCTATGAGGAATCAACCCGAGCTAGAAGTCAACTCATCCAGTGTACTGGTTGTCTGGATGGCCTTGTGAACTTTGGCGCGTTATCCCAGTTAAATCTATTCACACGTCCCGGTCATATATTTGCTATTATGATGCTTGGTGACTCAGGAAATAATACAATCAACTAAAATAGTGTGCTTGACATCATATATGATACTACATTGATGTTCAAATTAAAAATATTTTGAAAAAGTATTGATATTTATTTAAGTTTTCAAGTTGAGAAGAGTTATATTTCTTTCGCAAAATTTAATTTGCCCTGGGTGGCGTCACATCGGGTTGCCATAGTAACCATAAAATGGACCAATCAAATAGTAGAAGCTTTATCTTTTAGACATCAACTCAGTAATGTTTGGAAAATACCTGTACCAAGTTTCAAGATGATTAGCCAAATAGTATTGAAATGGCAACACATTTGACGTTACTTCTGGATCACCCTGTACATATCACAAATCCATGCAATTATTCATGCAATCAAGTTCCAGTGAGAAATTAGTTATATGGTATGTAATTAACTAATTACCTTATAATTCAGCCAATTTGACAATAACAGCGCATAATAGTAACACCCCAGTCACATTTGTCGCACGGAGGCCGTGCGTTGACCGCAGATCAATTAATTCAGTGTATTTCTGCGGCGAGCGTAGGAAAACTACGCTCGCAATGCGGCCTCCGTACGGCGTATCCAGTTTTTTACAGGCCGCAGGGTCGCCGTAGAAATTATAACTCGGAGTTATAATATTTGTTCATTTCTGAGGTCTCCGTAGAAATCAACTGGCTCAACAAGATTGAATCATTATTTGTCAATGTTTCACGATCACTTTTCATTTGATATTACATCCTAGCACTATGAATAACATTTATAAATTGTCCCGATGTAAATAAAATGAAAAAAGTATTATTTATCAACAGAAATTTAAAATTCACCGTGCGGCTGCCGTGGGAAATGTGACTGCAAAAGTATGAGAGCGTACCCTTTGCATTCGTTTGACTTCACTTCTTAAAAGAGAGCTCCGTCTTCACTCTTTCAAACTAAAATAAACCTGTGAACTCACCGCGCCAATCAGTGTTCATCGGCCAAATTTGACCGACCTTCTATATATGGTCATTCCTTCTGACGTCAGCGTTGAGCCCGGAATTGACCAATGACATGCACATATTTAATAAGCACGCATTTGGCGTATGTTTCTTCAAGCTCGCTGATTGATGGAAGAAAGGTCAGCGCGTAGGTCAGAAGTGATTTATTTAATACCCAAACTGTCACCGGTACCCGTCGTGGGGGCGGGGCTACTAAACTGTAATATGGTCTCTACTAGGCAGAGTGTAGTTTAACTAGACTCTGCGCGCAGGGTAATGAGAGCGCAGAAATTCCACGGCGAGCGTAGAAATGTTACTGGCCGCAGAAATGATAGACCGCAAGGTCGCCGTTTGAAATGTGACCCCAGGTTGTTTTCTATTAAAATAATACCAACCGCAAGCAGATTCGACTATTTTTTCCAGATATATGAATGATAACAATGATTAAAGTTATCCACTCCCTTTCTGCAATTAGATGTTTTCCTGGGATATTGACTAAAATTGGAACCTATCAGCCTATGGCTAGATGTGTTGGGAGGTGTCTAGTTTGAGCTGGGGAAGTATTACATTGCTAAATGAGCTATATCTGGAAAGCAAATTTTTCCCAGAATCAATTTTTGTAATTTAGAAAAATAATCAATTAATATCTCTAATTTATGTGCATATTTAAATAACACGGGGTAGATTTTTGCGAAAAAATGCTTATTCGACATTTTTGGGAAATAGTACAGTCCATCGTGACATTAAACTTTGTCAAAGGATAGAACAATTCACGTGTTATCAATTACATGAACTAATTGTAATCATTATTATTGCTTCTGAATGTTAACAGAGAAATATTTAGTATGGAGGATACAGAAAAATTTGTAATTTTCTCCAATTTTTGTTCTACCCTGGGGAATATTCATCAAAGAAAACCAAAACAATACATATTTCCAATTATAGGTCTCCCAATTGATAAATGATCTCTCTGTACACTGCATTTGATTACTTAGGGTTAAGGCAAGGTTAGGGTTAGGGGTTAGGGTTAGGGTTAGGCTTGGGCTCAGGGTTAGGCTATATAGTTAGGGTTAGAGGTAGTGTTGGGGTTAAGGTTAGGCTCTGGCTTAGGGTTAGGCTATAGTTAGGGTTAGGGTAGTGTTGGGGTTAGGGTTAGGTCATAGCCAATGATTTAGCCTTCCAGAGCAAACTTTGTGAAAATTCCAATAAAAATCATGGAAACAGTGGAGAAATATGACCAAACTAACAAAAAGTTGACTCCTGGTTGGAGCCTATGACGGATGTGTTGGGAGATGTCTAGTTTGAGCTGGGGAGGTATTACAGAGCTGAATGATCTATATCTGGAAATCACATTTTGCCTAGAATCAATTTTTTGTGATTTAGAAAAATAATCAATAAATTTCTCTAATTTATGCACATATTTAATAATACGGGGGTAAATTTTGGCGAAAAATGCTTATTCGGCACTTTTTGGGAATAGCATGGACCATTGAGACATGAAACTTTGTCAAACACAGAGCTAAATTAATGAAAGTTCCAATAATGGAAATAGTTGAGAAATATGACCAAATTAAAAAAAGTGGTACTCCAAAATGGGTGGTAATAGGGTTAACCCAACTAATTGTTATAACATACGTATTCCCATACAAACGATCTGTCTTCCAGAGAAAACTAAGATTTGTGGACATGTTTTGCTATCATTCCGTCATACCCCAGTTTGTCCTCTGTCAGTCAAAAACGTTTGAAAACTCCCCACGAAAATCAAAAGATCTCACCTGTTGAAGACGCCATCTATAGAAAATGTCCAAAAATGTCATTCTGATTTTGACAGATGGAGGCAGGTCAAAAAGGTCACATTTTTAAAAGAAAATGCACCTTAATCACATCAAATCATGTCTTAGAGTTGGTTCATGCATACACTTTTTCATTTATGTACTTATCAAAATCAAACCACTGATGATGCTAATGTAATTACAATAATTGTTTTTGTAATGCCATATATGCGTCTTCCCACTCGCCGGAAGGATCGATAGTTTGTGTGTCTCCTAGTAAAGAGTATCCCACTGATCTTTTTTATACAAGTTCCCGGGCCTATGGACGGAAGAACGTAGGGTTTTACCACATCTCTACTAGACTCATACATGTAGCTAGACTCACAATAAGTCCACGAGACAATGAGAACTGTTTTTAGTGCGTTTTATGTAAATTTACAATGTTTAAGTGACTACATTGACTATCTCAAACGTATCAGTGTTATTTAGAAAGACTACCTCTCGTCTCCATCAGTTTTGTAACCAGAAGTTCAAAATGAAATAACTTATTAAGCCTAAATTTTGGCAATTTTAAAAAGTTGTTTATTTGTTGTAAAGGACAAGTCTCGGTTTGGAGAACAGTCTTCTGGGCAAATCATTTTTTATGAAAAATATAGAAATAGTTTACAAGATGTAAAAAAGTGTCCGAAGCAGGCGTAACGTGCAGTAGACCGATTCAATAAAAGACAAATCTCGATTTGGAGAAAGCAGTGAACTGAGCTAATAATTTTTTTATGAAAAATATAGAAATACCACCCAAATTAAATCATGGCTATTCAAAAGAGGACATTTAAATCTACAACATGTAAAAATATCAAAATTGTCCAAAGCAGGCGTAACGTCAGTAGACTGATGAACTTCGTTTTCAGAACCGAGGCTTAATTCACGGACGTCAAGTAAGTTTCTGGCGAAAGCCGGAGCATACATGTAGATTATTTAAGAGGACTGGAAACAAGAGTGACCTACCTTTTTATTTCCCGAATCTCGCCTGAAATTAGCTCATCTTGGTGACTGTAACCATATATCTGTATTAATAGAGCCTCTTTATATCGCATCTGCCTCAATTTTAAAGTTTTATTGGTATTTTTAATATGATTTCACTGTTTTTGTGGACGATTCAGCCAAGCAAATGGCAGCTGACCTGTTCAAAGAACTTTTAGTACTAATTATCGCAAATGTCAATAATTTTGGAAACAATATTATACTTTAAATAGATTACTAAGCATCTAAGGTAAGAAAAACTAGATGAACAACTGAGTCAATAGTGATAAATAGGCCAACACGAGTTGGCAGATTTGAAATAGACTGCCATCTTGTTTCCAGTCCTCTTTATAATCTATGCTCCAGCTTTCGCCATAAACTTACTCGACGTCCGTGGCTTGATTAGTCTTTTCCGAACTTTTGTAATTGAGGAAAAAATTAAGATTTGGATATAAATGACGGGCTTTGATATGCTTTTTTGATCACTGTAATATTTTTAATGGATTGATAAGTACCCGATCTTTCTTTGAACATTTTGAACAAGCCACATCGTAGTTTATTCCCGCGAGGTGAGGTAATTCATATCACTATCAATCATGAGAAATAGGTCGACCGTATACCGCCATCTATTTATTCAAAAGTGGTTAAAAT